ATGGTATTTGGGAGGGACTGGCTGCTCTAAACTGCAGGACAAGGTGTGTGGCCCTGACCATCAGTCACTGCAGGGACCATGAACAGAGCTTTGTGATTGATGGCACTTCACAACCAAGACCAAGGACTTATCATGGTCACTTTAACATTTCTATTACCTTTAAATCTTTTTCCCCAAGACAAATTCAGCCCAAACTCTTCTAAGTTATTGATTTGTTATGTTGCTAATTGTAAGTAACCTAATAACCTTTGTTTATATACCGCATTTCACGGACCAAGGTCACACAAAGCGCTTGACGATGTTTTTGTCTTTCATTACAGTCAGAACTATTGTACAGGTTTTAGTGGTTGGGTGAAACTGGAGCACCTGGAGGAAACCTACACAGACGCGGGGAGAACATGCAAACGCCATACAGAAATGCACTGCACTTCTTGCTGTGTGGCAGGTGTGAAATATGCAGAATAAATGGTTCAAACCTGCCATTTGGTGACTGTGGGACTACAGATGAAAACTAGCGACAAAATGCTACTATCTGGTTTCTTTACAGCAGCGGTCTCCAACAGAAGAGGCAGAGATCTACTCCTTTTTGCAGTCATAATAAAAATCTAATAATAATAGTAATAATAACGACAAGAGAGGACACACACGGAGAACACATCTAAACTATACTGTTATTACTGTACTATAAGCCTATATTTTTTTACTTATAATAAATATGCAATGACTCCAAATGTATTCATTGTTAAATTGTAAATCCTTTGGGGAGCTACCTGAAAGGGGCTGGTGAGCTACTGGTAGCTCCTGAGTCACAGGTTGGAGACCCCGGCTTTACAGTAATACAGTTACTGCTGATTATTAATAGGCTTTTTATGGCTACAACTGACGGATTTTATTTTTACTCTTTTTAATGCATTGTGGCTTTTTAGGCTGCTCCCACTGATGTCTGCTGTCTTTGTGTCCCTGGGCAAGACACGTAACCCCACTGTGCCTGAAGCTATTTATGATTTTAATCCCATGTGTGGTTTTAATTTTTTAATTGTTATTTTATTTTCTATGTTTTTAATATTTCTTGTGATGTTAATGTTTGTTTGAAATCTTTTTTTTTATGTTTAGCTAAGATGTTAATGTTTATGATTGGTTGTGCGGCGCTGTGTGTTTCCTTGTGTAGGAAAATCGCTCTCCAAATAAAAGTTGATTGATTGATTCACTGTCAATCCAAATAAACAAATAAATACACATATATAAATCTGTAAACTGAAAACATTACATCTGTGTGATTTCCAGGAGGCCGTGATGACTGTTCAAACAACGTTGTTAAACCGATATGAAATGCATGATACCCCGACACGGCAGCGCTACAACCAAATCTACAACATCTATGCAATCCAATCAAATGTGCTCTTGTTATGTTTACTCCAGGAATTGATTTTATGATGAAAAATGAAATAGGAGCATCATAAAAAGAACCAAGAGCTGCGCACACCATCCATCCATCCATCCATCTTCTTCCCCTTAATCCATTTCTGGGTTGGGGGGGTGGCAGCTGCACCCAGTACACTCAGCACCAGCCCAGCTGTGCACACAGTTGTCAAAATGCCAGCTCAGTGCACGTCCACTTATTCCATACCACCAACATGTTGACAGCAAATGCCAGAAATGATATGTTGGGACGAGAGCCGAGCTGAATGAAACAAGTCTAAGTCTAAAATGTGATAGTGGTGTCAAGGACTGTGATAACAATATACTGTATAATGTATATTGTGATACTTTCTAGTGACCAAATTAAATATATTTGCATGAAACAATTACCAGTACTCTAAATTAATTTGAAAGTCACAACAGGGGTAAATAAGTTCATATGTAGTACATAAAGGAGTTTAAAGATAATATCCCCATGTATGTGGATAGGGAAATTTGGGTGTCGCTGCTTAGACTGCTGCCCCCACGACCCGGCAACAGATGAAGCGGAAGAAAATGGAATGGATAATAGGGCGGAGAGTCTTCCCACTGCCGTCTCTCCTGAAGCCAAAGTCCCACGTTTTGGAACTGTAGCATTTTTAGCCACATACAGAATCCAAGATCAAGATTCAAGAATTTCTTTGCCATTTGCAGTAAAACCACGTTGGAAAAACTGTGCGAGACAACCGTAGTGTGCACCAGAAGGTACATACCAGAGCTTTCATAGTCCCTCGGATCTATCGTTCAGCCATGTGAGTTTGTGCGCTCGTTCCGGCCAATGACAAAGCAGCATTTTAATGGGGTGGGCATTCAAGGTTGCGTGTGATTGGTTAAAGTAAAAACAAGCATATGTGAAATAATAAATCAAAGTTATTGCACGTCATTGCGATATGGATATAATCAAACTTTCTATTATCTCCATGACGATATGTTTTCCCATTTATCATTCAGCCCTATAATAGAATACTCCCTCCTTCAGGGTTGAGCAATTATGTTAAAATAAAAAGAAAGAAAAGGATAAATCTAGAGAAGACATGTTGTGTGGGAGGTAGCTTCCCTCCGTCTCTAGTGTCGAGAGGTCAGTGTGCAGTTTAATGAGTGTGAGTTCGGTGAATCATTTTCTCCGGCCTTGACAGCCACCAGATCACAGCCCGGCTCTCTGCTGCCGGGCTTTTCCAGCAACATGCTACACCGAGCTATGGACGCTAACGCAGCATGACAGACACTGGGACTCTGTCAAACAAATAGATATCGCTCATAGATATACAGTGCCTTGCAAAAGTATTCGGCCCCCTTGAACCTTTCAAAATGTCGCCACATTTCAGGCTTCAAACATAAAGATATAAAATGTTAATTTTTTGTCATGAATCAACAACAAGTGGGACACAATCGTGAAGTGGAACGAAATTTATTGGATAATTTAAACTTTTTTAACAAATAAAAAACTGAAAAGTGGGGCGTGCAATATTATTCGGCCCCTTTACTTTCAGTGCAGCAAACTCAGTCCAGAAGTTCAGTGAGGATCTTTGAATTATCCAATGTTGTCCTAAATGACTGATGATGATAAATAGAATGCACCTGTGTGTAATCAAGTCTCTGTATAAATGCACCTGCTCTTTGATAGTCTCAGGGTTCTGTTTAAAGCGCAGAGAGAACCATGAAGACAAAGGAACACACCAGGCAGGTCCGAGATACTGTTGTGGAGAAGTTTAAAGCCGGATTTGGATACAAAAAGATTTCCCAAGCTTTAAACATCTCAAGGAGCACTGTGCAAGCAATTATATTGAAATGGAAGGAGTATCAGACCACTGCAAATCTACCAAGACCCGGCCGTCCCTCCAAACTTTCATCTCAAACAAAGAGAAGACTGATCAGAGATGCAGCCAAGAGGCCCATGATCACTCTGGATGAACTGCAGATAACTACAGCTGAGGTGGGAGAGTCTGTCCATAGGACAACAATCAGTCGTGCACTGCACAAATCTGGCCTTTATGGAAGAGTGGCAAGAAGAAAGCCATTTCTCAAAGATATCCATAAAAAGTCTCGTTTAAAGTTTGCCACAAGCCACCTGGGAGACACACCAAACACATGGAAGAAGGTGCTCTGGTCAGATGAAACCAAAATCAAACTTATGCAAAACAATATGTTTGGCGTAAAAGCAACACAGCTCATCAGCCTGAACACACCATCCCCACTGTCAAACATGGTGGTGGCAGCATCATGCTTTGGGCCTGCTTTTCTTCAGCAGGGACAGGGAAGATGGCTAAAATTGATGGGAAGATGGATGGAGCCAAATACAGGACCATTCTGGAAGAAAACCTGTTGGAGTCTGCAATAGACCTGAGACTGGGACGGAGATTTATCTTCCAACAGGACAATGATCCAAAACATAAAGCCAAATCTACAATGGAATGGTTCACAAATACACGTATCCAGGTGTTAGAATGGCCAAGTCAAAGTCCAGACCTGAATCCAATCGAGAATCTGTGGAAAGAGCTGAAGACTGCTGTTCACAAACGCTCTCCATCCAACCTCACTGAGCTCAAGCTGTTTTGCAAGGAAGAATGGGCAAGAATTCCTGTCTCTCAATGTGCAAAACTGATAGAGACATACCCCAAGCGACTTGCAGCTGTAATTGCAGCAAAAGGTGGCGCTACAAAGTATTAGCGCAAGGGGGCCGAATAATATTGCACACCCCCCTTTTCAGTTTTTTATTTGTTAAAACAGTTTAAATTATCCAATAAATTTTGTTCCACTTCACGATTATGTCCCACTAGTTGTTGATTCTTGAAAAAAAAAAAAATTGTTATATCTTTATGTTTGAAGCCTGAAATGTGGCGAAATGTTGAAAGGTTCAAGGGGGCCGAATACTTTCGCAAGGCACTGTAAGTGTGCATGTGTGTCGTAAAAATACACTGTAAGTTGGTGTTATTTTTAGGTTAAAACGAATAAAATTCCACTTTTTGTATGTGAAATCAACATTTATGGAGTTAATGGGATGAATTGAAGTCTCAGTCCACCGAGACACCTCCTTATCTTATTGTGGGATGATAGTTAGAGAGACCAGGACCCCACCAGGACCAGAAGAAAGTAAAATCCTTGACCCACTATCATTCATCAAGGAAATTTTTTTGAGTATATGATTTCCAAATTACAAAACCAAAACAGCCGGAACCAAAAAAGTTCCTCTCGAAAGTAATAATATATCTCGACCTTTTGCTTTTGTTTTATGTACATAATAAAAATAAACTGATAACACGTTTATGTACCATAAACGTGTTATCAGTTTATTTTAATTTTTTTACTGAAATTGTTTTCAATTTGTTCTCCTAATATACATTTGGCCGAATTTCTACAATTGGGCCAAATTAATTTTAATTTAATTTTCAAATCCAGATGGAAACCACCTCATATTTTCTCATTTTTTGCAGGGTAGGCAGAGTAGGAAAAGCGTTCTATAATTAAAGAGTGCTTGATTGATAGCTAATTAATTAGTCACTATACAATATTAATCACACAATAGTACGTGTGCATTGTCTGACCTGCCTGCCTGCGGTGCCCGTGCCCTGGGACACGCTTCCCGGGCTGTTGGAGTACTTGTTCTTCTGCAGGTCCATCAGAGCGTCTCTCTGTCGCTCTATGTCGGCCTTGTGGATGCTGTTAAGTGCCTCCAGGCTCTTGGCGGCCACAGAGTTGTGCCGACGGTCCAGGGAGGAGGTGAAGCCCCCATTGTTGGCGTTGTTTTCGGCGAAACGTCTGGCCCCACGCCCCCCTCCGGCCGCCAGGGTGTGGTACTCCCGCGGGAACTCGGCATCACTGGCAGAGAGCATGGGACCCTTTCTCTTCTCTCGACCTGCGCAGAAAGTAAAGTGTTACATCTTGAGAAAGGTCTGACACTAATCAAGAGTGTGTATGAGTCAAATCTATATCTATCAGTAATTTCGAAATAGTCTCGCATTGAAGGCTTCTGCGCTCTGAGTAATGCATTTACCACTAATCCCACCCACGTCTGTGTATTTACATTAAAATAATCTGCATTTCAATGAAAACCCACTGCTGCCAGAAGTCAATAGAATCATGTCTATGATTAAGCAAAACATACAGTGGATAAAATGATCATCTATTTGCAGCATAATTTAAAAGCATAGAATTAGAATACAGAAGGTGTACAGGAGGATTTTCTACTTCCGGTGGATCATCAAGACTAATGGTCCTCCTAATTGTCAATCATTCTGGTGATACGTGCTCGTCAAATGGGACCAGAGAGTTTGTTAAAAAAGTGGAGAGGGAGGTTCTGTCCTAAAATTTGGAAAAATCCTCATAGCATTTCATTTAGTTGTCTGGATTCAACACAAGCACAGAACAGAATTGTTTTAATCTTGTTCACTAAGTATTTCCACTGCACTTAAACAACATCAACAAATATTGCACCAAAACATTCACAAGAGCAGCACAAGCAGCAAACAATGAAGCAGAGAGAAAGTATTTTCAACACTATGTTTGTCCTCAACTTTAATACCCTAAACATGAAAGAACGCTGGAAACAGTTCTTTTAAGACAGAATGTACATTTATGGAGGTGGCGCATTGAGAGGAAGTTAAAATCAAACTCACAAAACAACAATTATGAAAGAAGAACAAGGAGGATGCGGAGATGCATGTTTTTCTTTTTCATGAAGAGCAAAATAGTTAGTTACAACCATTCATAATGTACCTGAATGGTCTGCAACTGTTTTGATATTTCATTAGAGGAGACTGTTTGTTTGATATTTATGTTATTTGAAGTTGCTCTATGAAGTGTGATTAATTCTCCATCACAGCATACAGGGCTTGTCATAAACCCACACATGTTAATAGGCCCGGCCTCGAGGCAGCGCCATCGACTGTGAGAGCGCTAACAATGCATCGACATCCCTGCATTTTCTGTCCCCACACCACAACACAACATACACACACACACACACACACACACACACCACCAAACATAAGACGCCTCCAGGTAAATATAGCATCGGAACACAGCTGCAGCATCTGTCTGTTTCTACAACTCTGTCTCTGCCGGACCCCCGCGGCCATGGTCCCCAAACCGCAGCAGACGCAGCCCACATATGTGTCAGGATCAGTCATGGTAAAGTGACACAAATGGGAGTGATTGCTTAGTGTTGTGGGAACAGTTTAGTGCCCCCTTGTGACCAACGAGACATAAAACACCAGACAAGCAGGTAAAACCGTAAAGAGGACAGACACCGATTCATGTGTGTAATTACTTGGCCTTTTTTAAGATACACTGGTTGGATGGAAAGTCATAATTAGTGTGAAAAAGAGGCATTGATCTTCATTATAGTGTTCGTGGTTGGCTGAAGGGCTGCAGAGAGAGAGAGAAATATTGATTTACAATCTATACACAGAAAAAAATAATCATGGGTATTATTGAGCTATAGAGGAGGAGGGACTCTGTGTTATATACGTACATTTAGATCCGGGCCAAAGATGCAGATTGATCGGAGGTTTTAAGAGTTGAGATTTATTTGCCAGTCTATTTTAATGAGAAACCTGGAACCCTGATTTCTCCATTTTCCCTATGACTTTTAAGAAATAAAGTGGAGAAGTTTGCATACTTCTTGTTTGCTAAAAAGCTATGTGGTATCTTATGCACACAGTTAAATGACAATGACTATGAATGATAATAAACAAATCAAAGTATTATTGTAGATAGAATCTTAGACAAATGAATCAGAAATTATAATCGATGTTTCAGGACGAGCAGCATATTCACAGGAATTAAAGGAGCAGTATGTGAAAATTTGGCCAAAAGGGATACTGCTGCAGCCTCTCCTACTCTCCCTGACCCAGGTTGCCAGATATGCAGATGAATCCAGCTGGGACCATAATATCTAAATAGACAAGAGGTTTGTCAACAACAAATCTATAACCAACACCTTTTTCACAAAGGCCCTGATAGAAATACTTGGTTCATTCCTTGTTTTGTCATTAATGATTTGAGAATCATAACGGTACCTTTTTTTAGTTCTGCGCCACATGTTACGGACTTTCTAATTGGTAAAAACGGTGGAGAGCGGGACATCGAAATGAAAACAATAACAAGATTCAGGGGCTGTAAAATTAATGTTGAAATCCAAATATCTCTGAACTACTGTTATCGGTTAAAGAAGTATTCGAACAGAGCATGTTTACTTTTTGACAGATTAGGGACATTTATTGATGATTTGACCTGAAAATCTTACATTTTGCTACTTTATGAAATGCTGTCCCTTTCCTCTCCAAAGAACTAAACATACATCAAATAGTAAATGGTGTGTTAAAGGTTTGTAGCTCATTCCCACTTGTGTTTTCATTGAGGTGTCGGCCTGGATCCCCCCTGACCACAGGGTCCAGCAGTGATGTGGGAGCGGTGCATACCTCTGTGCATCCATGACGAGGTCGACGCACTTGCAAACAGGAATAAGAGAGAGGCGAGGCAACTATGTGACTCCGGTCTGTCGTTTTAATTTATGTGGAGCCTTGAGCAGACCCCAGTATGAGGGGGAGTGTGTATGTGGGACAAAGGGAGGCTATATTTCAGCAGCAGAGGAGAGAGGACCGGTCAACTGCAGCACTGCACACTTGTATTCAGAGCAGCGGCAGCCATTAACAGGGCTGTAATTCAATACAACACCAAACTACTATTTAACTAATGATGTCATGACAATAGGGACCGACCAGGCTACACTGTAAACATTTACCGTTAGTGATTTATAGTGGTGTAATAGAAGCTAAGACTCAGCGTCTTTAGTCAGGTTACTTACAAATGTTGTGGTGCCACACCTGGTGTTCAGTGCGACTTCAGTCCCCGGGCCCCGCAGAATTCAGAAAGTTAGAAAAGAGAATCTACTTAGAATCTTTGTTCCCACACATGGCAGCTGTCTGGTAATTAAACATGTGCTCGTGTGTGAACCTGTGAAGGTAGTAAAACATCTGCCGAACCTGCCCAAAAGTCAGTGTACTGTGTGTGTGCTGTAAGACAAAGCCAGCGTGGATGAAAATGCACCAAAGTGATCTGACACGGGTCTGCTTTTTTGTTTAAGTCATTTTGTAAGCTGAGCATACAATGTGAGGTTTCATATAGATGTTGGAATAAAAGTAGATGTTTTTTTTTCATGTATCATGTCAGTGCATATATATATACATCCAATTGACTGATAAGATCTTTGAGATTACACATATGTAGAGAATAGGTCATTTTGATGATTGGCCCAAGCCTGAACCTGGAACTAGAGTCATAATAAATAAATTAAAAACAGTGTGCATTATTCTGCAGATAATTAAACATTGTGCAGAACACAGACCGCATCTCAATGTTTTGTTTTTACTTTTGTAACTCAAATTTCTCAAAGTTAGTTGAGTGGATCAATATGTAAAATGAGACAGAGCGCGTGGAAGGACGTGGTCGATACAAACAAACGCTTCTGGTACATGTTTTTATTTATACTGCCATTTCCTTTAGCCTCTCAGTGCATACATGGTGTCTCTCCTGCATCACTGGTGCATACATGGTGTCTCTCCTGCATCACTGGTGCATACATGGTGTCTCTCCTGCATCACTGGTGCATGTTGCTGGTGTCTCTCCTGCATCACTGGTGCATACATGGTGTTTCTCCTGTATCACTGGTGCATCCATGGTGTCTCTCCTGCATCACTGGTGCATACATGGTGTCTCTCCTGCATCACTGGTGCATGTTGCTGGTGTTTCTCCTGCATCACTGGTGCATGTTGCTGGTGTTTCTCCTGCATCACTGGTGCATACATGGTGTCTCTCCTGTATCACTGGTGCATGTTGCTGGTGTCTCTCCTGCATCACTGGTGCATGTTGCTGGTGTTTCTCCTGCATCACTGGTGCATACATGATGTTTCTCCTGTATCACTGGTGCATGTTGCTGGTGTTTCTCCTGTATCACTGGTGCATACATGATGTTTCTCCTGCATCACTGGTGCATGTTGCTGGTGTTTCTCCTGCGTCACTGGTGCATGTTGCTGGTGTCTCTCCTGCATCACTGGTGCATGTAGCTGGTGTTTCTCCTGCATCACTGGTGCATGTTGCTGGTGTCTCTCCTGCATCACTGGTGCATGTTGCTGGTGTTTCTCCTGCATCACTGGTGCATGTTGCTGGTGTTTCTCCTGCATCACTGGTGCATGTAGCTGGTGTTTCTCCTGCATCACTGGTGCATACATGATGTTTCTCCTGTATCACTGGTGCATGTTGCTGGTGTCTCTCCTGCATCACTGGTGCATGTTGCTGGTGTTTCTCCTGCATCACTGATGCATACATGGTGTCTCTCCTGCATCACTGGTGCATGTAGCTGGTGTTTCTCCTGCATCACTGGTGCATGTTGCTGGTGTCTCTCCTGCATCACTGGTGCATACATGGTGTCTCTCCTGCATCACTGGTGCATGTTGCTGGTGTTTCTCCTGCATCACTGGTGCATACATGGTGTCTCTCCTGCGTCACTGGTGCATGTTGCTGGTGTTTCTCCTGCATCACTGGTGCATACATGGTGTCTCTCCTGCGTCACTGGTGCATGTTGCTGGTGTTTCTCCTGCGTCACTGGTGCATTTAGCTGGTGTTTCTCCTGCATCACTGGTGCATGTTGCTGGTGTTTCTCCTGCGTCTCTGGTGCATGTAGCTGGTGTTTCTCCTGCATCACTGGTGCATGTTGCTGGTGTCTCTCCTGCATCACTGGTGCATGTTGCTGGTGTCTCTCCTGGTCCAGCTTGTCATTAGTGCAGCTGGTGATAGTTAATGGGCTGCCACCTCTCAGCGCTGCTGGCACCTCCTCTGTTATTACTGCAGCAGCCACGGCAGCTCTGCAGATGAATTGCTCTTTAATTTTCTGACTTTGCTAGTATTGTTGAAGCCCTAACAGTGACGTCCCTGCAGGGGACATGTCACGTTTCATCCCCACTTACGCGCACATGCAATTTTAATATTCGCCACACCAGTAAAATGTAGCAGGAGTCTCCTTAATGACTGAACCACAGCTCATGTCCCGCACACACGCTGACATGTTATTACTTTAACAGCATGTATTTGACGTGTTTTTGTGTTCACAGGATCTGCTGGAAGTGCAGACCATAAGTAACTTTTCTGAAGTGCAGCATTTCACTGCGGCTCCTGATATCAGAATCAAAATATGATCTGAACATTCAAAACAAATAGAATGGGGAAATGTAGTTGTCCTCATTTGCGCCAAAAAATTCAAAAGATCCTGGATTAAGAGGTACAGAACTTGACAGATTATAAACCACTACTTATTTCAAGCTATTTTAAATCTGCTGCGTTCATTGTTTCATTGTAACTATTTAATTAATTTGAGAAGGGACAGCTACATAAAATATGGACACACTGTCGTTCTGTCGTTTGATATAAAAAGATACTTAAAACCAAAACTAGCGCTATGTGTCAATGTATGTATTTTCATTTTGTTAGAAGGAACGGATTTGGACACAGCTCTATCAGCTGTTGAGCTGATAGAGCTCATGAGTGTTTATGTGAACAGTAGAAAGAGACTAAAGTCAGAGCAGAGTGACTGAATCAAGTTTTAGTAGTGACCCCTAATGTAGAGGCTACTGCTTCTGGGAGTTCCATTTTCACAATGTAGCACATGTACTTTTAGGGACTGTGTGAATTGTGAATAAACTTTAAGAGACCAAACTTTAAGAGTGATGGGAGCCAGGTTAGATTGGATTTACCCGAGTGCTTTGATCCTCACGAGTCAGTGCGTTAAAACACATCATTACATAAGCTTTGTTTTACTCAAGCATCTGTTAGTCGTGTGCTAAAGTAATATATGAAAACCTGCGGCTTATATTCAAATGCGGCCTACGTGTGGACAAAATGCACTTTCTTTAACTGTTGTACGAGTGTGCATCATCAAGTGCTGTAATAATCCATAATATTGTATAAAACAGCTGTGAGTGTGGGGGCATGTAACACCCAGAGCCTGTGATCGAGAGCTTGTGTGTTGTGAGCGAGCTCGTTCTGGTCAGGGTCCGTCTGACACGAGTCATTTTTTACTTTT